AGAAGCTAGTCTGAAAAGCACAATCCGGATCCGCAATCCAACACATGCTGGTAATGAGGTCCTTATTACTGAAGAACCCAGGTGCTCCACAAGCATGAAAATCTTGAAAAGTGTGATCGCGTGCCCCGAACTAACTAGCTGCCAACTCTACCTGAAGAGGCCGCATACACTTATCCATCATCTTAATCAATCTATCCTTGACCATGCCAAATAGGTCATCATATCCTCCAGAATGACCCTAAAAAACATCTACGACAATCAACTCGTACAACTCGGCATCCCTCAGTGCAGAACAAGAGCCTGAACCGGAACCAGAACCACCTCCATGACGGGTCGTCACCATTCTGAAAAGAACGCAACAAAAGATCAAAACAAACTCATAAAACCATACATACTACAAGCTTTTGAGAATCTTTGTGTCTTTCCTTGATTTGAGTACGGATCATGTGCTTTCAGTAGTACGGACCCATATTACCTTCCACACCTATTCGTAATTTCCTTAATAATCATCCCAAATCTCCTAAGTCACTTCCTTACAGCTACACACATCGGATCTCACACATAACATTGTATCCAAACCTTGCCAAACGTATCCTAAGCATTCATAGGATTCTACTTCCAACACGTGTCGAAGGATCTCTGCTAATATCGAAAAATTGCCTCATGAATGCATGTTGTAAATACTTAAAATAAAATAGACATTCGAATCGATGTCTCTGTCCTAAGGCCTTCATCAAACAATAATAGGAAAAAAAGACATCTCTCATATGTAGGCATCCTAACATGCAACCTGAGCAGTTCCCTAGCCTTACTTCTAGCATGCAATTCATGTAATAGCATACTTAACATTTATGGGATTCTACGAACACTTACTTGAGCCACGGTTTATTGTATGCATCACACCTTTACCTTTTTAAAACCCTTTTTGGAAACATTAATTTTCTTGTAAAACGATTTAATTAATCCTTAGTTTGAGTCCGGACGCACACCGTGCTAGTCCGAATCCCTCAAACTAAGGCTCTGATATCAACCTATGAAACATCCTAAATATACTAGGAATTTTTTTTCAATTTTAAAGTAATAAATCCATTCCATAATTCCATAAGTCAAATAATCCAAAACACGAGTTTGCAAATTTCATAAAAAGAAACATTAGAGAAATCTCAAAATCACAAGGTGCAAAAAACATTGGTGGATGCAGTGCAATCAAGCTGGCTCTTTTCTATTGCTAATTTAAACATAGAACGGTAAGCACAAAGTGCTTATCGAGTTTCGTAAAATACCATATAACATACATGGCAGTGGGCCACATGACAAAAAATAGGATGATCTTCATTTGTTACTTGCTAGGGAAGTATGTTTGTCATCCGATGATCCACATGCACAAAAAATAGGATGATCTTTGTTCGTTTTTCTCGAATGAAAATGCGATGAGAATGAACTTCTGCATGAGGGGGACCTGTTGGAACTTTCATCTTACTCTCACAAGTTTTAGAGTTGTTTCAACATACCCCTAGGTCATTTGTTAATTCCGAGAAAAGAAAGATTAGATCAAAATATAAAAACTCAATATACCATCAGCTCACTAAATAACCCCAATTTCATTGATTACTCTAATAATTTAATAGGAGCAAAAGAAGATGCGGCCTAAGACATAATGGGGAGTCAAATTCTTATGCATTATATCTCATTACTAGTAACTATATCCAATGTGGGATGCGTAAGTGCATTTCATCCCACAATTGTTTATCCCACATCGCTCAGATAAGTAGAGTGAATAGGTAAACAGCTTCAATAAATATCAGTCCCGCTATCACCATCAAATATTATTTACCAGTTATCAATATTAATTAATTATTTATTTATTTAGTTTTTAGATTTATTTATTTAGTTTTTAGATTTAGATTGGTTACTGCGCGCCTTTGAAATTAAAAAAGTTTCCCAATCTGAAAAATTGATTTAACTGATTCCGTTCCATCTTTTTTAAAACTTTCTTTCAATCTATTATAATTTTGCCTATGCTGTTTCTTCCTTCTTTGTTTTTGGTCTTCATCTTTATATGCTGCTAGAGTTTGGAACACAAGATGAGCTACAGTTTCAGATTTATCTTGAATCATGAGATGAGCTACAGTTTCAGATTTATCTTGAATCATGTGTATTATTATGTGTGTTACTTTTGAAACCATAGTGAAATTCGTCAGAGTTTTACTCCTTTTCTCTCGTATGTAAATAAAGATATCATATGTTCAGTTATGTTTGGAATTTCTCTTTCTCAATTAGTGTCACCTACTAATTTACTTACAGTTAATTTCTTCAAGGATGGATTGATCTTCTTTAATTCTATAATTTTTTTTCAATCATATTATAGAGAGAATTTTCTGTTTTTTCATATTAGTGCATAAAGTAATCTTTGGGTATATAGTTGTTGCTTTTAATAGAGGGTTTCATTAAATCCATATAACATCATACCTTTGGATCCAAAGGTACGATGTCATATAGATCCAATGGTGTATTGGGCATCTTGCTCATGATGACTTTGTGTCTTTGTTCAAAAGAGCAAAGGTAAAGTATTATTAAAGTTTCATAAATCCTTAATAGGGGTAAATTTAAGAACTAGCAATGTAGTTTCAGTGATTTTTTTACCATATCATATTACTTTCATTTCTTCTTATATATCATTTTAATTTGAAAAATGTATCCAATTATAAAAATGTCATCCAAATACCAAACTATTTTAACTGCTATAACTGGGTAGATTTATTAATCATATAATTATATAATAAAAACTGTTAAAAGTTCGATACTATAACTGGTGTAGATTTCTAAAAAGTACAATCCCTATTAAGCAAAAAATGTACAATGTTGTAATAGAAAGAAATGAAAGTTGGATGCTATAGTAAGTTTTTCAATTTGCATGCATTTCCTTTTTCCTTCCAATTTCATAGTTGGCCGTGATTTTCAAACATCATTGATTGAAACAACACTTTATCTATACTACAATTAATGGGGAAAAAAGAGAACAAAAATTAAAAAACTTTAGAAGCATATATCAGATTATATATTTTAGTTTTTTAGGTGTATATTTAATAACAAATATAGTTAAATTTTGTTTGAAAGAAAACCTTGCAAGATCATGTAGGAGGTCTCCCTTCAAATACAAATCGATTATCTTTCAGAGTAGAATGCTGGCATGCTGCATTCAAAGTACAATATAGGAAAAAATTTGAAAAGTTTGTTCAGTAATATAAACAAATGAAATCAAGATGCTATAATCAACACATAAAAGAAAGAGTCTTACTCTTAGGTATAGATGCAATAAATAGAAACATATTTTTGTATATTTCTTTATTCCAGGATCTTAGTTTCATTTTCTACTATGTCAGCAATGCATTTTCAAAGATCTGCATGATTATAGTAATATCATCCAAATAGAGAGTAATTTTCACTGTTTTTCAGAGTAGAATGATATCAGTCAAAGTGCAATGCTTTAATAAGAAAAAGTTTGAAAATTTTGGTATGTAACTTACAAAATGAAAGTAGCTGCTTAATAAACATATTTGGAAGAGTTTTACTCTTAGCTTTAGATAAAAGAGATAGCAATGTATATTTGTAGATTTTGTTTATTATAGCTTCCTAGTATCAAATTATACTATGTTACCATTGCATTTTGAAATAACTACTCCTTTATAGCAATATTATGCAAATAGAGTGAAGTAGCGAAATTGTCAGTGATTATAATTTTCATAGTAGAACGCTATCATTCAAAGTACAATGCCTTAATGAGAAAAAGTTTGAAATTTTGGTTCTATAACTTAATGAAACAAAAGTAAAGTTCTATAGTAAGAAACAAAGGAAAGTGGTTTACTCTTAGTAGATGCAAGAAATAGCAATGTACTTTTATAGTATCTGTTTATTATAACATCCTAGTTTCATATGTTGCTATGTTAGCATTGCATTTTGAAAGACGTACACAATTATAGATACATCATCTAAATATAGAGAAATTACCACATTCAAAGTACAATGCCTTAGTGAGAAAAAAGTTTGAAATTTTGGTTTATCGAACAAATAAATGAAAGTGTCTTAATCTTAGTTTTAGATTCCAGATCAAGCAAAGCACTTTTGTATATTTGTTTATTGTAGTATAATTGTTTCATTTCCTGCTATCTTAGCATTGCATTTTGAAATATCCACACAATTTTTAGAATCGATTAGTAGCAAATCACATAACCATAGATAGTTACTTTTGTTGTCTTTGCACTACTCAAACATGTAAAAAAGAATCGGTTATCACACTATGTCAATATTTTACAACCTTCCTTCATGTCACAGTGTCTCATTGTTCTATGCTTAACCACTTTAGCTATATCAAGCCTCGGCTGAGCATCGCAGGCTGCACTTGCCTTAATGGTGATACTCTGGAGAGAAGGCGAATGACCGAGCAAAAGCTTAATGAAGAACATGATTGTTATTGATATTAGTTTGTAAAGAAAATATCGCCACATTTTGCAAACGTTTGAGTGTGGGGTTCAAGCATTCGGGCTTTTAAGAAATGTGAAGTTGGTTCCATGATGAGTTCAAGATCTTCAAGAATAAAGGATGAAGATGTTAGCATCCACAAACAAAGCAAAGCAGAACAGATAATCATCTAGCATCTCTTCGCCTTTTACCACCTCTAAGATGATCACACATATGCTCTGCAAGTTTGGGTAGCTGCAAATAACAAATAGGGTGTTTAGAACCTGATTGAGATTCCTAAGAATAGTCTGCAGCAATGAAAGACACGAAAAGATTTTAACATTGTGTAAATCCCATGTTGGAACTACAACCATAAACTTGGAGGAGAGTTTCTATGTTAGCTAAACAAACACAGGACCATTTTAGGAATAGATAAAAAAAAGTTTATTACCCAAAGGAAGTTGCCATCAACTATTAATTGTTTGATTTTTGCAGGTTGCTCAACATATTATGCAATTGGTTATCTTGACTTGTACCAGATCATGAGCAAGCTTCTGGGAGGATATGCCAACCACGAGCATAGACAAGTTTTGACTAGCAAGACTTGTAGCTTTGGTTTCTCTGTGTCAAAGTTCCGGACATTCCTGCACATTTCCAATTTTAGATTCTTCAGCTCCAGCAACCTGACCGGACCTCCAAGTAATTTAGTACCAAATTCTACATTCTTAACAGAAATTTCCTCAACCATCATGAACCCTTGAAACTAAGGGGTTGCTTATGTAAATAATTATCTAGACTCAACTTTTTATGATCTCGACAAGAAAACAAATAGGTCGGGAGCTCGTAATATCGATTCCAGTTTGTAATTAAAAGCTCCTTCATACCTTTTCTTGACAATATCAACATCCATTGCTTGATTTCCTGAAAGGTGTAAGATATACATGTGGTATTGTAGGGTGAAAATGGAGATTGGTCCTTCATGAAGGATCATCAGATGCCTGATGACAAAAAAAAAAAACCAACTCTTGAACCTTCATGAGGGTCCGATCTCTGTTTCCACCTACAAATACCAAATGTCTATCCCGTCAGCTTAGGAAAAGGTGTTAGCAAACTCGTCCTTTTAAACTCAAACTGGATTTACGAGCTCTCATCCCATGTCTTCACCTACAATGAACTTAAAAAGTTGAGTCTGGATAACTGTTTTCTTAAGCCCCGTGAGGTTTTGAAGGATTCATGGTGATTGAGGAACTTTGTTTGAAGATCGTAGACTTTGGTGCTAACTTATGTGGAAGTCAGGTTGCTAGAGTTGAAGAAGCTGTCGTTGCATATGTTCTCGTATGTCCGGAATTTTAACATGGAGGAAGCAATGCTGCAAGTCTTCCTAGTCAAAACCTGTCATGATGTGAGATCGGCATATATGTTTGGGAGAACTGATTTGGGCAGGGTGTTGAGCAACATGCCGATAATCAAACATTTGATAGTCGGCTGTCATATTCCAGGTTGTAAATTTTACAATTTATTCCTAAAATGGTGATGTGTGTTTTAGTTAACTTAGAATCTCACCTTGACCTCCTCAATTTTTGGTTGTAGTTGCATCATGGCTTCCACACAATTTTAGCAGCTTACAAGTTACAACGTTTTTCATTGTTTCATATTCTTGGCAATCTGAATCAGTTTCACAACAGCTTTTTTTGTCCTTCGTGAGATCGCACCTCACGAAAACTAGAGAGTCTACAATCCTCTTGCAGGTGGTAAAAATTGAACAATGCAAGATGTTTGTTTGTTTTGCATTGTTTGGCTTGTGGATGCTAACTATCTTATCTTTATATTTTTCACGAGTCTGAAGTGGATGTGAGACCAGCTTCAAATCTTTTGAAGCCACCAGCTGTTTGGATAGCATGCTCAATCATTTGCAAAAGGTTGCGATGTTTTATGTATAAGGATCAAGACTCTCTCTTCTCATATATAAAGCTTTTGCTGGGTCGTTTGCTTGCTCTTGAGAGAGTGACCATCAAGGCAAGTGGAGCCTGTGATGCTGATCAGAGGATTGAAATTGCTAAAGGAGGTGACATAGTTCGTACGGGTCTACCCAAAAGCAGAACTGGGCTACGTGGATCCCACAATGTGAGACGTAGTACATACAAGGAAGGTTGTAATACATTGAAAAATTGATAATAAATGGTTCTTTTTACATTTTGGGTAGTCGAAAAGACGATAATATAATCTAACATTCTATCCATGGTTATGTGATTTTCTGATAAATGGTTCTTTACTCATCACTGGACAAATAATGTAATTGCATGCCTATCTTCAAGAATCAATTATAACTTTTGTTTGAAAAAAAAAATTTACAATGGCTTTGTTGAATTGATACATGATATAGCAGAGTTTTAGGGAAAAAAAAACTATATGTCACTACCTTTGTAGGATGAAATTAACCAAATTGTCGTTTCTTAGGGCATTTCTTGCAAAAAGAAAATGGAAAAACTCCAATTTTATAGTTATGTGTGTATTCAGTTATATTAGCATAATTATCATATTCATGATATCAACGATGTACTTACATTACGCAAAAATGCAACATGGAAAAAACATATATTAATGAATGTACTTACAGTTCTATACGCATAAGGGCAACATGAAAAAACAAAAAAAATGTTTGGAGTGTGAAACTAAACAAGATGAAGTTGTGTACGGGCTCTCTTGAGCGTTATTTTAAAATAATGATTGCTTAATGTAAACATATTTACTATCTTGAGCTTAAGATTTCAAAGGGTTCCATATCTGTCCACCCCAAACATTACAGGACTTAGATTTCTTTCATTAAACTCGTTATGAGTGTGATCCTACATTATTTTTTGATATTGGAATTCTGTAGTAAACCCATAATATAAATTTAATTACATCCCTTACACATAACAGGTCGGAAACAACTCCCTTTGGGGAATAAGGAATCGATCCTAAACGTCTTTGGTTCCCGGATTTGATAGCTTGAAAGCAAAGGTGAAGATTCCATCTTAGCCATGGACCCCCACTAAACAGCCCCAGTGGAAGCAAGCACCTTGAAGGGAATTTCCATTGCGAAGGATTCAATCCAGGTTTCCCTACGGCTACCGTGTTACGACTTCACCCTAGTCGAAGACCCCACCGTGGTATGCGCCAATAAGACCACCAAAAGCCTTTGTGGCACTAGTGGTACACAGAAGTCATGGGTGATCAGTGGTCTTCTTTTTCATCAATCGAGCGAGAGGGAGCTGCTTCGAGGAGGCGACACCCACTAGTTTTGTCCGGATCAAACTCTCCCCAAAGGAGGTAGGTGAGAAGGGCTCGGTTCCATGCAGGTCTTTCACCAACGGCTGGCACTGAACTACTCCTATGCAAGGCTGTCGTCTCATGCTACTAGGGCGGCTCCTTTCTCTTTAATCAATTAGGGGTGGTAGGCGCCTGTAAAGAAGATCACTTCTATTACTACACAAGTCGATAAGTCCGAACTCTAACAACTTCAAGGACAAGGAATCGTGATCATGTTGGGGGAAAGGTAGTTGTAGAGGAGCGGCTGTGAAAGGGCTCTTCCCCCCCCCCCCCCCCCCCCCCTTTCATTGAAGTAGGGAGGGTTTTCTTCCCCACCATTCTAGCCTCTTGTTGATAGGGATTTTACCGATGCTGAAGGTAGCTTGCTTACCAAGCCACCCACTTGAGAAGCTGGTCGCTAGAAAGAAGCGACGAGGAAGCGAAGTTGTCTACGAAGCTTGTGCACGCTAAGAGAAGAGGAGAGATGTTCGCTATGAATACCACAAGAAAGCCACCCCCTCTCTCTAAAAGGGCCCGTCACTTCGTTCGTACCTTCATGGCTTATGCTTGCAACTTCACTTACTTTATGGCCCTGCCGCCTTTTTATAGTAGAAGCTAAGCGCTTGAAAAGCGTGCTATTGCTTCTGTCGGCCTTTATGTACAACAGTATAGTAATGTACTTAAAATTGCTTTCCAGAATTAGGGATGAGCGTTTGGACTGAATAACCAAACCGAAACCAGAACTAAACCAAATTAGGACCGAATAAGTTATCCAATTCTGTAACATCCATAAAATTCACAAAAATATAAAACTTTTAAAATATTCCAAAACCATCCATTGTTAGTAATTATTTTCTAAATAATCTAATATCAGAGTTTTCCCAGAAATCACAACATGAAAAACGAGGAGGTGCACGATCAAGCCCTCGCCTTCCCGCGGTCATCCGAAGTACCTGAAACAAAATCCAAAACTGTAAGCCCGAAGCTTAGTGAGTTCCCCCAAAATACCAACGCCATACAAACCAGAACAATATCATAACGAACATTATGCATATAGAGTCTTCAGCATGACTGGACCGCCTCACCGACCTTCAGCCTATCTGACCCACTCTCAGAACCTTCAGCATGTCTGGACCGCCCTACCGGGCCTTCAGCCTATTTGGACCGTTCTCCGGGCCTTCGGCCTGGTAAGCCCCATTGGTCCTTCTGTCTATCCGGGCTGCCCTGGGTCTATTAGCCTTCAGCACAAAGTATGACCGCCTCAACCCTCCCACAATAACACAGTCATCACATAGATATCAAACGCTAGCTAGCACATACAATAATCATATAGGCCTAACCGATCACCAATGGAGGCATCATCCTATACACTAGGATACAGATCTAACAGATCATCAAAGATGGCATCATCCTAGACACTAGAATACAGATCTAACAGATCATCAAACATGGCATCATCCTATACCCTATGATACAGATCTAACAAATCATCAGGCATATCATCATACAATAACCAGGTTACAATCCAAAGGGCCGACCTTGGTCCCGTAGACCCTGTCAGTATAGTGAGAAGAACTCACTTCACAAGTAGCACTGAATGATAAGGTCAATCTCCCAAAACACAACTCCAAACTCAACCTCTTACAATCACCATGTGACCAACTTCATTAAAATTCCAGAATACCAAAAATACCCTTGAAGTCAAAGTTGGTGAACCCTGGTCAAAGTCAAAGTCAACAGTCAAGGTCAACAGTCCATGTTGACCCAACTCATCGAGTGCATCTTCTGACACGAGGCAACTCGACGAGTTACCAAAGCAACTCATCAAGTTCTTCAGTGCTCAGAAAACCGGGGAAAACCCTGACCAGCTCGCCAAGTTATCTCACCAAATCGTCGAGTTCACTTAGTATCCAGAAAGCGGGAAAACCCGATCCAACTCGTCGAGTTTTCCTGTCTTAACATATTCAGCCCTTTCCAGTCGAATCTAAAGCCCCAAACTACAGATCTAGTCCCTTAGGACTGAAATATCACATAAAGTTTCTAACTTTACGTCCATGCAAGGCCTTAAGAGGCTAAAACACTAAAGCTAAGCTTAACAAGAGGTTTAGGGCATGAAGGAGGGCCAAGACTAGATAAAGTGGGCAACTTTATGTCCGTGGAGGCCTAAAGGTGTCCAGATATGAAACCACATCCTCATGACAAGCTCAAATCCGAGAATGACTCCATTATGCCCCAAAAATGACCATGTACTTTCATAAGAGGAGATCTAAGCAATAAGAGATCAAGGTATCAACTTTATACCTCAATATGGTTGCCAAAACAGAGTAGATGTCGGATCTATAGCCTCCTCCTCACTCCAACCTCTTCAATCTTCTAGTTTCCTTCCAAAAGAGCACCAAAAGTCACTTTCCAAGCTTTCACACACACACACAATGATATATAACGCACAAAGTAGGGTTTCTCTAGGTAAGGGGACGATGAGAGAGGCTACAAATGAGTTATAAGGTTCTTAAATAGGGTGCAAAACCCTGAAAATTAGGGTTTCATATCCTGCCGTCAACTCGTCGAGTTTTGCCTCCCCAACTCAACGAGTAGAGAATTTCCTAGACGTCGAGTTGAGGCCATCAACTCGACGATTTCCAAAGTAAATTCCCCTTTTTAGATAAGATTCTTATACCTGGGAGTCGGGATGTTACAACTCTCCCTGACTTGAACTAGGCTTCGTCCTCGAAGCCTGCTGCAAAAAACAACTCCGGATAATGCTCCCGCATCTCGGCCTCTGGCTCCCAAGTCCACTCGGATCCCTTCCGATGCTGCCACTGTATCTTTACCAAAGGTATCTCCTTGTTGCGCAGAATCTTTACTTTCCTTTCCAAAACAGCCACCAGCCTCTCTATGTAATTCAGGCGCTCATCGACCTGAATATCATCCAATGCCACAACCGCATCCTCATCCAATACACATTTTCGCAACTGTGAAACATGAAATGTGCTATGGATCTGACTAAGCTCCTCCGAAAGATCCAGTCTATACGCCACCTTGCAAACCCTGGAAATAACCCGAAATGGCCCAATATATCGGGGACCCAACTTTCCCTCTTCCTGAAGCGAATCACACCCTTCCAGGGTGAGACCTTCGGCAACACCATGTCGCCGACCTGAAACTCCAACTCGGATCGACGCCGGTCGTCATAGCTCTTCTGCCGACTCTAAGCAGTCTGCAATCGCTGCCTTATTTGCTGAATCATCTCAGTGGTTTGTAGGACCACCTCAGTCCATCCCATCACCCTGTGACCAACCTCACCCCAACAAACCGGGGTACGACACATCCGCCCATACAACAGCTCAAAAGGTGGAGCACCAATGCTGGAATGAAAGCTGTTGTTGTAGGAGAACTCTACCAAAGGTAACTAGGAATCCCAGCTCCCACCAAGGTCAATGACGCAGGACCGCAACATATCCTCAAGGGTCTGAATGGTCCGCTCACTCTGGCCGTCAGTCTGCGGATGATAAGTTGTACTGAAATGTAGCCGCGTGCCCAGTTCCTCATGGAACTTCTGCCAGAAACGGGAGGTGCACCGAACATCACGTTCTGAAATAATAGAGACCGGAATCCCATGGCGAGCGACGATCTCGCGAATATACACATCGGCTAACTTCTCGGCCGATGAGCTCTCCCGAATAGGAAAAAAATGGGCACTCTTGGTCAATCGATCCATGATGACCCAAATAGCATCGAAACCCTTTTCCGTTCTCGACAACTTGGTGATGAAGTCCATCGTGATCTGCTCCCATTTCCATATGGGAACCTCCAGACGCTGCAGCTTTCCATGCGGCCTCTGATGCTCGGCCTTGACCATCCTGCAGGTCAAGCACCTCTCGACATACTAGGCGATCTCCCTCTTCATACACGGCCACCAAAAACTCAACCTCAGATCCCGGTACATCTTGGTGGCCCCGGGTGAATAGAGAAGCGAGACTTATGAGCCTCCTCCAGTACAATCTGTCTGATCCCACCAGACATCGGGACCCACACTCGACCGCAACAGGTCAACAATTCCCGACTATCCTGCACAAACCTGGTGATCTCGCCCTGGTCCTCTGAATCTTCCAATTCTCCTACTGTACACCCTCATCCCGAGCCTCCCTGATCAAGCTCACAAGTGGAGACTCCACAGATATCCTCATACATGACGCCGGGTCAGTAGATCCAGCCGACTTGTGGCTCAAGGCGTCGGCTACAACGGTCGCTTTACGAGGATGGTAAAGGATCTCGTAGTCATAATCCTTGACTACGTCCAGCCACCTGTGTTGTTTCATGTTCATGTTCGGCTGATCCATGATATTCTTCAAGCTCTTGTGGTCCATGTAAATGGTACATCAAACCCCATAGAGATAATATCTCCAAATTTTGAGAGCGAATATCATCGCTCCCAACTCCAGATCGTGTGTGGGATATCTTGTCTCATGCGGCTTTAGCTGCCGCAAAGAGTAGGCTATCACCGGTCCTCTCTGCATGAGGACTGCCCCTAACCCGGTAATGGATGCATCACAGAACACCACGAAATCCTCAACTCTCTCAGGGAGTGTCAAAACCGGCGCCTCACAGTCGCTGTCATAGAGTCTCGAATGCAGTCTGCTGCTCAGGGCCCCACCGGAAATCTACCCCCTTCCTTGTCAGACGAGTGAGGGGTAGTGCAATCTTGGAGAAATCCTGAATGAATCTCCGGTAGTACCCTGTCAATCCCAAGAAGCTCCTAATATCCGAGGGAGATTTCGGAACCTCCCACTGCATCACCGTCTCGATTTTGGCCGGATTGACCAAAATCCCATCCCGGTTAACGAGATGTCCAAGGAACTGAACCTCTCACAACCAGAACTTACATTTTGAGAACTTGGCATACATCCATTCTCGCCTCAAAACCCCCAGAAGCTCGCGGAGATGCTCCTCATGCTGCTCTCTGGTCTTAGAATACACCAAGATGTTATTT